ACTTCGGTTTTCCTGACTCCAATCCACAGAGCTACTGAAATAAGTAGTAAAGACATATAATTAGGAGCCAAGGTAAGCCCTTGATGCAAATGCAGTGCCTCAAACATAGCAGGTGCACCTGTGCTAGCTTGACTCCTTGATTCTTTCCCCTAATTGAATACAGGGGCGAAATGAATTTACCTGTACAGAGCTCATATGGTAGCCTTCCTGAGCTCCAGTCAGAATAGGGCAGGGAGCAGAGGTGGCTTTTAAATGCCAAGCACAGAGATCCAAACCACATAAAAGTGTTGAGGTGGTGGGCAGAAAAGAAGGTGGAAGACAGGGACTGTCAGGAAGTATTGTGCAGGTGCCAATCTAACTGGCCAGAGAGGGCACCTAGAAACTGAATGAGCTGTGACTGGCCCCTCCTGTGGAGATGAGGCAGGGAATTATTTGCTCAGGTTTCTCCAGGCCACATCTGAAGAAAAACTTTCCTCCTCAGACCTAAATGAAGTGTCAGAGTAACCAGTGGAACCAGAAGTCAATACGAAGAGAGGTGGAAGCCACAGAGCCTGTTTTGTGGAGGGAGCTCAGGAAGAGACTTGGCAGTCTGGCCTCTCTGCTTTAAGGCCAATCTGTGGGCTCTCCATGAAATCTTCCCACAGTCCATTATAAAATGCTCAATTTTCCAAATAGCTATCCATTGCTCAAAAGCCTGCTTGACTATAGAGAAACCCAAGGCTTTGGCCAACAGCAGGATCATATGTCTTTTCAGAAAGGGATATAACAAACCTAACCCAAGTCTTCCTCTCCTTGGGGAGTTATTAAAAATTCTGTTGACAATTCATAAAAGGTGGTTGCTGGCCAAGAATAGGCAGGCCTTCTCAAGAAAAAGAGGCAGAGCTCAATTTGGGAAGAGATCATTGGAGCACAGATTTCCAGCTAAAATGGCCTTTGGAGACTCTCTAGTCCAATCCCTTATTTTATCTATGAGGAAATTAAGCCCTAGGGAAGTTAAGTAACTGACTCAGATCACACAAGAATACACAGAAGAAGTGGAATTTGAATGCAGGTCCTCTGATACCAAATCCATTGTTGGGCCATCCAACTTCATAAGCATTAGGCATTGAGGAAGAAACAACCAAAGCCCTCCCCAGCTGATACAGTATGCTAATAAAGCATATATCATCCATCCTTCAGCCATCATACTTTTTAAGTAAATGTGCCACCAGTATCCAAAGGATACTAGATCTAGAGGAAGAAGGACCTCAGAGGTCATTCAGTCCCCTGCCTAATTTGACATAAAAGGAAACTGAGGCCCAAAGAGGTTAAATGATTTACTCCTAGCCAACAGCTAGTAAATGTCTGAGCTGAGATTTGAACCCAGGTCTTTTTGACTCCAGGTCCAACACTCTAGCAACTTTGCCTTCCCCTCCCAAGTACTTTCCTGCCTTTTCTCTGCATGCAAGTCCAGGAGGGGTGGGGAGGCTTCATATCTCTTATTCTCAGACTCAGACCATACCTCCTAGATCTGTGAACCTCATGGATTTCTGGATCTACACTTTCACCCCACTAATCTATCATCACTGGGATTTCAAAAATAACTTATTTGGAAGCTGAGTAAGCTGAGACCTAGAAAGACCAGGTAGTAAGAAGCAGAGGCCAAGGTCTTATAATCTTCAAATCCAGTTCTTTTGCCACTGTACTATGCTTTAATTTGATTCCATTTTTCATCTGTTAAGTGCCTACTGTGTGCCAGGGTAAAAGAGGGTTGAATTCCCCTTCTCAGTTTACTTCCAAACAATCAGTTGGCACTGGCGAATCCCCTAGCTCTGCTTAGAGCCCAAGCAAGCCCTCACTAAGCTTCTATTAACATTGGAACTAGGTCAGGAATGTGCTTGATCCTTGAATCAGGTCAAATATTATCTCCCTGAAGCAGGAACTGGGAGGAAATGGCCTTCTCAGAGGGGCTAAGGCCACAAGGAGATAGCCAGAGGAGGAGGAGGAGGCAGGGGAGAAGGAAGCAGGAAAAGGAGAAAGAAGAGGGAGGTTCAGAGCAACACAGAGAGACAAATGATGGAATCAATAGAGAAAAGAAACTAGAGGTTTGCTACTGCAAGCTCATTTCTGATTATAGGATCTGAGATTTAGGTGTGGCCATCTTATCCAACCCCATTATTTTACAGATAAGGATACTGAGGCCCAGGAATAAAAACAAGAGGTTTGCAAAGTGTGTAAACAGGTTAGCTCCTTTAATCCTCAAAACAACTTTATAAAGTAGATGCCATTATTATCCCTATTTTATAGAGGAGGAAACTGAGGCAGATAGTGCTCAAGTGACCTGCCTTGGGCCACACAGCTAATAAGTCTCCAAGATAGGATTCAAAGTCCAATCCCACTGTACCACCTAACCTTTATGAGGAAGGTTAAGAAACTCACCCACAGTCACACAAATAAATGGCAGAGCTAGGATTTGAACCCAGGTCCTTTGACTCCAAGTCAACTCTCTTCCCACTGCACCATGCTGCCTCCTATATACCTCACAGTACTGGATCTCTGCTCTTTTATTACCAATTCCACCACTGGCTAAGAGCACACACTTCCTCCCCTCCTTCAAATTATTCAAGTCTAAGGACATTGCCCTTTGACTAACATAATCCTTGCAGTCTGGAATTTGAGGCCTGTTGAGTTCAGATCACAGTCCAGCCCTAATAAGTCCAATGCAGGAGCCCAAGAATTAAGCCTTAACCCAGCTGGCCTTCAAGATCCAGACCCTGTACGGCGGCATCCCCCAGGCTTGTGTGAGTGCCTCATTTGGCTGCTTGGGGCTGCTCAGGGGTAGCTTTTCCTTCCCATCCTCTGCCTTACAAAAACAGGCTTGGGGCTCCCTCCCCTTTGCAGAGGTGGGAGGCTACAAGTATAGAATGTTGCGTCTACTGTTAGACACAGCCAACGTGTTGGTTGGTTTTGCTAAACAGCTTTTGTCTGTTTTTGTTTTTTATCTTTGTTACAAAGGTATAGGATGGGAGTAGGATATATTTGGAAATGAAGAAGATGTAAAAATAATATATATATGTGTGTATCAATAAAAATAAGATATATATACATACACATATATATGTGTGTGTGTGTGTGTGTGTGTGTGTGTGTGTGTGTGTGTGTATAAAACAAGAAAGACTTAAGAGATTTGATTGGGTTAATGATTCACATGTCTGCAGGTGCCTGGGCTCAATACTTCCCTCTTGAATCATAGCAGCTGGAATTCCTCCCCCATACAGTAACACCAGTGGTCTCCCTGCTCCCACTCAGGAATCTAGGCTTATCTCTAGCCCACCCTGCACCTTGACTTCATTACTGCTTCACTCCAAATGCCCCTTCCTTGCTCAAATTGACTTTTCCTGCCCCTGAGCCCAGGTTTAACTATTTGGTTGTTTTCCTGGCCTGGAGACAAGGACCATGTCCTTAGTACATGTGGAGATAGGGACTTCAGGGGTCAGCACCAGGAGCTTTAGGGCTGTTGAAAATATGGTGTCATCACTCAGGTGACCTACAATCATTGGCATTTATGTTGGCCTAAGGAAGAGAGATTATTGTCTGCATTTCATCACCTGCCCAGGTTGTCCCCACAGCAAAGGCTCCATGCTCCATGCATGACTAGTACGCTGTAGTAGGCGTGCTATGACCCATAACCACAAACCTCAGATTATGCAAGTGTGTGTGTGTGTGTGTGTGTGTGTGTGTGTGTGTGTGTGTGTGTAAGACTGGACCTCCTCTGAGAGCTTCTCCTTCCCCCTTAGCCCACACACTCCAATGTGATGCAGGGGAAAGAATGTTGGCTTTGGACTTCAGAAGACCTGGATTTGGGTCCCACTTACTAACGTAATGAGAAGTAACATGATATAATAGCAGCAGTGGTAGTCTTGGAATTGAGAACACCTGAGTTCAAATCCCACTTCTGATAAAGGACAAATGACTTAACATCTTAGTGTCTGAGCAACAATTTAGGAATTCATTTAATAATCATATATATTGCCCAGCAATGTGAGTTGCCCACAGAAGAACACGTATCCTTCCCATACTTAGCTATATTGATATGTCTCATGACCAATGTACATATAGCACTTTCCATTTTACAAAGGACTTTAATACCCTTATTTACTTACTTGATACAACCCTAGAAGGTAAGCAGCAAAAGTGTAATTATCCCCATTTACAGATAAGGAAACTGAGACCCAAAGAGGGAAAATACTTATCCAAGGTCACATGTGTAATAAGAGGCAATTCTAGAGTTTAAATCCATATATTCTGATTTCTGAGCTCTTTCCACTACACCATGTGGCTAATTGGATAGGATGTTCAACTTGGAATCAGGAAGATGTCAGCTGCCTAAGACATGTGCTAGCTGGATAACTCTGAGAAAGTCACTTCACTTCTTAGCTTCAGTTTCCTCAGCTATCAAATGGAGTTGATAATAGCATCTACATCATGGGGTTTCTGTGAGAATCAATGAAATAAGATATATAAAACGTTTTACAAGCCAAGGAAACAGAGGGTCAGTGGAATTAAGTGATTTCCCCAAGATCACACTGCTAGTTAAGTGACTGAGCCAAGATTTGAACCAGGCCCTCCAACCTTAAATCCAGGAATCTGCCTACCACACTGCACTGCCTCTTGTATCTCAATTCAGTTGATGTTGGAGGCTGGCAGTGATGTTAGTACCCTGGCAGGGCACTGCTAGCAAAGTCGTGACAGAAAACAAGGAGCATGTCCGGATCAGGCCAAGCTGAGATAGAGCTTACCTAAGGAGTAGCCACCAGGGCTTCAGAAAGAAACCATCTGGTAGCTTCCAATTTCATGCTAACTAGAGGCTAAACTTAACTGTTTCTATCAAAGGAAAGTGTTAGTGCCCTCTAAATTTCCATCCTCTGGGACAAAGCTTCTATTACTCTACCTTAGTTACTCCTTGGACTAAGCCTATAAACTGTGAATGTTCTGCAATAGATAACAAATTGAGTACATACCCAGAAAGATCAGCAGCACACCCACTCCCACCTGGAGTACAAGGGAGACTGAGATGAGTACGATGAGTGGGACAAAGAATGCAAAGGAGGGTCCTTGTTCAACCACAGCCTTTAGCTGCGAGGCATTGGCCATCAACAGGGCAATGTCCAGCATGCTTTCAGCTGCACTCTTCTTGTTAGCATAGTGGTTCATGTTGATGGATCTGTTTCTCCAGCCCCAGCCAGCAACAGACTGAAAGGGAAAAGGGGAAAAAGAACTAGTTAAGAAAAGAACATGTGTAGAGTTTCAGAAAACTGAAAAGCTGAAAGACAACACTGCGGCATCAGCTAATAGCTCACACTTATACACCACCTCATGATTTACCCAAGACTTGGCTTGCAAGTGCAAGGATCATAGGAACATGGCTTTAGAACTGGAGACAACTTTCACCTTTTAATGAGGAAACTGAGGCCCAGAGAAATGAGGTGATTTGCCCAAAGTCACCTGGATAAATAAGTGGCAGAGCTGGGATTTAATCCCAGATTCGCTGACTTTTCCATGGCACCATCATTTTACAGATGAAGGCACTGAGGCTCAGAGAGAGAAAAGGACCTGAATGGTTGATAAATGCTGAAACTGAGACACTGAAGAAAACCGCTTTTTCCCCTTTCTACACTACGATGCCTGAACCTGTCTTAGATTCCACAAGCATACAGGAATTGTTTTCTTTAGCAAGCTTACCCCCATACAGTTTGTTTCTTAAATATGAATTAGGACAAATACACCTCCTTGAAATAGACATGGCAAAAAAAAAAATCAGGAGGGTCAGAAATATATTATCAAATGGAATATTTAGTTATTTCCTCCTTTTTCTCTTAGTAGGAAATTGGAAGCCACCAAGGCAAATTGACAGGAGTCCAGCAGACCAAGCAGCACAGCAGAAAAAGCATTGACTGGAATCGGAGGAATGAGATTAAATCCTGTCTCTGATGCCAACTATCTATATGACCCTTGCACAAGTCATTAGGCTCCTGGGGCTTCAGCTTTCTCAAAAAATATGGGAGTTGTACGAGATGACTTCTGAGGTCCCTCCTAACTCTTGACCTATGATCCTTGGGTAATGTTTGGGGTATTCTCTCCTCTTTATGTGGCATGATGGCCTGAGAATAGCTTCATTATGCCCCAAGATGCCTCTTAACTAAGTTCAATAAGTCTCCTTTTAAAAGTGAGTGAGGGAAAGAAACTGTATAACATAATGGTGAGAACACAGGGTTTGATTCCTGGTTCGACACTTTGTGACCTTAAAGTAGATACAAGCTTTCTAGGTTTTTGTTTTCTTAATCTGTTAAATGTGGATAATAACACCTGTAGTACCTGCCTCAAGGGATTATAATAAGGATAAATGAGATAATGTAGCATGTCTCAAAAGTCATAGTGCCTCATTAGCTTACAACTGCCCTAAGACTTTAGGATACCCTGTAATGCGTGTAAAATTTAGAGAACAACATTCCTTAAATGTTTCTTTTCCACTCAAAAGCTTACAGAGCTTTATCCCCTCAACAATGTTGTAAGAGGTAGAAATTATGCCCTTATCTTCTGCAGAGGCATTGTCTCAGCTTTCTCATGGGGGCTTTCTCCTCAAACATCAGCACTGAATTCATTCATTTGCTTAACATGATTTGGTATTTGGTCCCTTCCCAGGAGCTCACCATATTGGTGCTGGACGTGGGCAGACATTCAATCAGCTTTTGACCTATTTACTGCAGCTCAGAACTCTCAAGCTCAAGTGGTCCACCAGCCTCAGCTTCCCCCAATGTCACGGACTACATGCATGCACTACCACAACCAGCCTTAACATAAATTTGTTGATCAGCTACTAAATCCAAGGATCTGTGCCTAGCACTATGGTGAATCCAAAAATAATAAAGAGATTGGCTCTGTTCAAAGAGCTTATACTCAGGGGAGGGGTGGGAGGGTAGATAAAACATGTGCACATATAATGATAAAAATAACTGATATTTATTTAATATTTCAAAATTTGCATAACTCTTTGCATACATTATCTCATCTGATCCTCATAACAATCTCCTACCTCCTCACATCTGTCATCAAAGAATCATACAATAATTGAGCATTGTTATTATTATCCTTATTTGACAAATGAGGAAACTGAGACTCAAGTGGGGTTGAGTGACACAAAATGTCTACAATAGAAACCGTATCTCATTGGGGTGGGGGGAGAAAGAGGAGTATAGATAACATTGGAACCTTCCCAAAAGACTGAGGCAGCCAGAAGATGCATAATGCTCAATGTTGCCAAACTGTAAACCTTACTGCTCCTCTCTGTGGAGCTTCCTATTACTGATGTGGGTTCCCATTTATCTTAAGTCTAAGGGACTCTCTCTTGGCCTAACCATCAAGCCACACAACCTAAAGACACTGGATGATCTTTGGATCTTTTTGACCTGACAAGCCTCCATTGGTCAGTGGGACTGACAGCCTCCCACCACATCCCCTAAACATTCAGAGGTTGGTCCTACCAGGGAGGTTAGCTGGTATGCCTTGTAGGTGCAGGAGAGAATCATGCAGTAATTAAGTGAGTGCAATTAGCATTTTTCAAAAAGTAAAATCAGATTATGGTAAAGTGGAGAGAGCCCTGGATTCACAGTCAGGATTTGGGTTTGATTCCTGATTCTGACACTTACTGTGTGACCCCACACAAGTCAACTTCAGTAATGAGAGACTGGAAAGCTAGGAAGTATCTCTATCATTGTAGGCCTTGAATGCCAAGCTAAGAAGTTTGGATTTTATCCTGTAGGGAATGGGGAGTCATTCCAAGAGAACCAATTAACTAAATGTACCCTGTCACTCCAAAAGCCACTTGACTTACCTTGGACTCCAAAAGTCAAGGGGACAGAAGAAAGACTTTGCATGTGACTAGACCTTGCAACAGGAATATCTGAGTACTATACAGTTCAGTAATGTTGGGAGACAGAATTTTTTTTATTTTTAATCAATTTTTAAGCCAGATGAATAAATTAGGAGAAAATCAATCATGTATGAGCGGAACTCATTTCCCTTTAAGAACATCTTTTCAATTATTGCTTTTCAATTGAGTACTTAGAATAGTGCTTGACACGTATGAGGCACTAAATAAATACTTATTGAATTGAAATGAATAACTCTTTTTCTCCAAGGGAGAAATGTTTTAAAAATTATTGTTATTTTCTTTCCTTCTCATTTGTACCTGAAATCTCGATGATGGTTGTGACCCCATAGGTCTGGTTTGCTTGGATTATCCATTAATAAAGGTGCTAGTCAGAGCCAAAGAGGAATCAGAGTCAACAGGCATTTATTAAGTGCCTACTGTGTGCCAGGCACTGTGCTAAGCACAAAGGCTAAACAAAACACAAAAGACAGTCCCTGCTCTCAAGGAGCTTGAGATCCCACGAGGAGAAAACATGCACATATTTATGAACACGCAAGTTCTATACAGGATAAACTGGGAGTAGACTCAGAAGGAAAGCACAAAGATTAAAAAGGACTAGGAAAGACTTCTTGTAGAAGGTGGGACTTTAGCTGGGACTTGAAGGAAGCCAGGGAAGCCAGGAGGAGAAGGAGGAGAGAGAATATTCCAATTACGGGGGACAGCCAGAGAGACTTGGGAGGTGAAGAGTTGTGTGAACAAGGAACTGCAAGGAGGCCAGTGACAATGGATCACAGTGTGTGAAGGGGCTACATTATAAAAAGACTGGAAAGGGAGGAAGGTTCCAGGTTATAAAAGTCGTTTTTCTCATCAGAGTTGAGGAACTGAGATCTGCTTAGTTAAGTCAAGGATAGAATGATTCTGGTCAGGCTCGGTCATTGATTAGTTTCCTGTATCAGCACTCACTTCTCTTTCCACACAGATACTTTCAAAGCAGAGCCCAAACAGCCCCAAAGTACATAAAGATTCACATGACCAAAGGAAGACCTGGAATGAGAGGGAAAGAAATTGGTGAGGATTTGGGAGGAAGGAAGGGAGCAGGGGAGAGGGAGGAAGGGGAAGGGGAGACATCTAATTGAAGAATTCCTAAACCAAACCTCCTACATAGAAAATGAGAAGTTTCTGGATTCTAATGAACCCCTAGACCAAGTAGGAGCTAAAGTGTAGAAAGAGAAAGAGACAACGTCCTGAGGCACCTAGGTGGTGTAGTAGATAGAGCACCAGCCCTGGAGTCAGGAGGACATGAGTTCAAATCCAGCCTCAGACACATAACACTTACTAGCTGTATGACCCTGGGCAAGTCACTTAATCCCAACTGGCAGAAAGAGAAAGAGAGAGAGAGAGAAAGAGAGCATATGGGGGGGGGGGAGACCTCAATTCAAATCCTACCTCAGATGCAAATCATTTAACCTCTCCCAGCCTCAGTTTCCTCATCTGTACAACAGAGATAATAATAGGACCTACTTCACAGGACTGTTGTGGGGATTAATGAGATAATATGTATAAAGCACTTTGTAAACCATCAAAGCACTATATAAATGCTAGTCATTATTATATCTATTATTGGTAATATATTTTATTTTTACATTAGCCCTCTCCCCTCCCCCAGAGAGCCATCCCTTGTCAGAAAGAAAAACATAATACCATTTCAGCAAAACTAACCAAGACACAAACTATATGTGACAGTGTGTGTAATGTCCACACCCTTGGTCCCCCACCTCTATAAAGAAAAGAAAGAGGTCTATTTCCTCTGCTCCTTTTTGGGGCCAAGCTTGAATATTATAACACAGTGTGAAGTTTTTAGGAGTTTTTGTCATTGTGGTTTCCATTCATATTATTGAAGTTACGGTCTATATACAATCTACTATTCTAACACCATATTTTGAATAAGGCTTTATAATTTCCTGAGCATTTTCTTCTCCATGGAACCCATGACACTGTTGGACGTTAACACTCCTTCCCCCTCAAGTTATCCTGTATTTCCTTCCCTGTCTCCCCTGAGACAATGGCTGCCCTTTTAGGGCAAGGATTGGTTTTTGGTTTCATTTTTTCATTTTTGGATTTGTAATCCCAGAGCCCAGCACACTGTAAGCACTTAATAAATGTGTTTCAAATTCTTGAACGCCTCCTTATGGTTTCCTGTTTTGTTTACACTTGAATGTGGCATGGATATATTCCCTGAGAGAATGCAGAGATGTTGAGGCTGGTAAGCAAGCCTTAGACTGCAGTGATTTTACCAAAGATGACTGTTTTCTAAAGATCAAAG